AATCAGCCATGAGCACTCTGCTCTGAGTAACCACTTCCTTGGAATCTGTCAGAGTCCCAGTTATCTAACAGGAAGAGAAAATCCCCTGATATTACGCACAGAATTCCCAGCTCGGCCAGTCACTGTAAGAACGTATCCGTGAGCTCACGCAGGAGCAAAGAAGTGACCTCATTCAGCGGAGGGAATGCAAGAGAGCTGATTCTAAAAGAAAGGTCTGCGACGGGGCAAAAGACACCATTTCATGTCGGTGTTCATGATGACACTGACTCCCGTTACAGCGGAGTCACTGCATGCCCGGTGCTGGCCCACCTGTGCCGTTCTTGTACTGGTCTGGCCTGCAACGTTACCGTGTTTAAGGCTTTTTTTAAGAGTCAGTTAACGAATATTAGGTGGTGAGAGATACGGCAAAAATCCAAAGTAATGTGCAAATGGCCGTGGAGAAACAGTGAACTGGACAAAACCACTCCTCAAAATGAAAACAAAACAAAACAAAACGTACCACCACCATGACGAAAGAAAAAAAATTCACCATACATTCAACTTTCCTCAGGTGCCAGACACCTGACGTTTGTAAAATATCTCACAAGCAGTAACTCTAATACTCACAAAAACCCTATGAATTAGGAAACATTATTTGTCCCCAGTTTACAGATGAGGAAACTGAGGCTTAGGAACACCAAGCAACCGGCTGAGAGTGACCTGGCCCAGTGACAGGGCTAAGGTGTGACCACACTCCCACGAGACCCCAGGACCCGGGCAGGTGCCAACTGTGATGCCATCACCATGTGTGCCAAGCTCAGGGCTCAGTCGTCTGGGTGATGCCAGTCACTCATCTCGGCAAAGGAGGTGCCCTGAGTCCCTGGGGAAGCAGCCACTTCCTGTCCCTGCAGAATGAGAGCAGCCATCCCCGGGTCCGGGCTCTAAGCTACACGATTTGTCCTTGAGCTGACAGGTGACGAGTCAGGCACCCCGGCTCTGTGCTTCTCCTGTTCCTGTAAGCAGCCTGGTGTCGTGGGAGGTTAGGGCCCAACTCAGAGCGTCGCCAGCCACCGCGTGCAAGGCTGGCGCTGTCCCCTCCCAGCTCCCTGACGGGCAGAGCGCCTTCCCAGCTGCTGCGCGGCTCCTCCTTGGAGCTGCCGTCAGCACGGAAGGTGCCAGGCCAACTGGGGGGCCGTTCCTCCCCCTCGTGGGGCAGCTCGCAGCCAGCAACCAACCGACCGGCTCAGCGCGTGCAGGGCCGGCCCCTCTGCCTCCAGGTGGCACTGAGGTCCCGGCGGGATGGGGAGGGAGGGCGACCGCAGCTAGGACAGCCTCGGCGCAGCCCCTCCCTGTCCCGTCCGGCTGGCCTGCCCCACCCTGCCCGGCTAAACCCCGGGCACCCAATTCCCCCTCCCTGCTCCTGCTTCTCGAGACCCACCGTGCGCCAAGGAGCGGGTCCTTGAGCTTGAGGAGAAAGGCACTGACTGGGGAAAACAGTCACGCAAACCCACGCACAACGAGATGAGAACTGTCACAACACCTGCCTTCCTTTTATTACGGGACTTGGACGTGCCGAGTCCCACGCGGGGCACTACTCAGGCATAGTTCTGCTTGATTCAGAGAGCAAACTCACACGGTGGGTACTCCAGCTAGCCCTCTTTTAGGGTCAAGGAAACTGATGCTCAGAAGGGTTAATTAACTGGCCTGGGGTCACACAGCCAGTAAGTGGTAGAGATGAAATTTCATCTCAGCTCTCTCAGAATCTCCCAGGCTTCCGGGGCTCTGTTTATACAAATAAAGTTTTATTGACACACAGCCGTGCACATTATTTACGTATTGTCTGTGACTGCTTCTAACCTACCAAGGCCCAGTTCAGCCGCTGACACAGACCAACACGCCCCAAAATATTTACAATCGGTCTCTTTGTGGAACATTTGCCAACCCCTACTCTCAGTGATGTTGTTGTTGGTAGTGGTTAGCCTCAGATACAATGTGAATTCTCTTCCCTTCACATCAAGGTCCCCCCTGCAGCGTGGTTTAGAGTTGACAGCTTCTCACCCCAGGGGAGGCGAAGTTTACCCATTCCATTAAGTTCTCACGCAACACTCACTGAAGAACAAAATCACATCATCTGTTTGGCCTGCATTTCTCTTACTGTTTAACCTACTAATTCTTGGGACGGAATTCCATCCTTTCCTCCACAGATTAAGCCTACAGAGACCCACAAGGAAGTCTCCTCTTGAGATCTCACTCTGGAATTCTCACTGTTCAAATATATCCCATTACCTTTTGAAGCACTCCCAGCTCCCCGAGAAGGTCCTCTTCTAGCCTTTTAGTTACTGAGTTTCAATGCTTGGAAATGGTGATCACCTCCTTCCAGGGTTTTCTGCCACACAGCTCTCAGACTCTGAGCCCTTTTCTTTTCCCAGAAGTCAGTCGCTTCTTAATTATGTTTTGTTGCCCAGTCTTTGAACTGTAACCAATCGGCTTGCACGCTGGGATGATCAAAATACAGTGAGGGCCCGGAACTGACCAAGAGGAAGCAAACCTAATTCACTTGGGTTCAAATGGCAAGTTGAACGTGAACCCAGCATACTGTTTCCCTCTCTGAAGGCCTTTCCCAGTCACCAGAATTTTCTAGTTTCGCTGTTGGGAGCTTGAACTAGCTTTGTTTGTTATTTAACACCTAAGACTTCTAGTATTTTTTAATTAAAATTTTTTTTCTTAAATTTAGAGTATACTTGCTTTCCAATGTTGTGTTGGTTTCTGGTGTAAACAACGTGAATCCGCTCCGTGTACACATGTATCCCCTCCTCTTGAGTCTCCCTCCCACCCACCCCCACCCCGCCCCGGGTCAGCACAGAGCGCTAAGCTCCACAGCAGCTTTCTGCGGGCTGTCTGTCTCACACAGGGTGGTGTATATGTCAACGCAACCCTCTCAACTTGTGCCCCCGTCCGCTGTGTCCACAAGTCCACTCCCTACGTCTGCATCTCTATTCCTGCCCTGCAAGTAGGTCCATTAGTACCATTTTTCTGGATTCCATATGTATGCACTAATATACAATATTTCTTTTTCTCTTCCTGACTTAGTTCACTCTGTAAGCTGCTATACTAAGTAAAACTTGGAACAACTTTTCTACAAAGCAATTTCATCATGTACATCAAGGATATTTTAAGTTTATACACTTCAACTCAATCACCTCCCTTCGAGAATCCATCCCAAGCCTCAGAATCTAATGAAATAATCAGAGATGACACCAATGATGTAGATGTAGAGATATTTATCATGGTGCTATTTTAAATAATAGGAAAAATGAAAACATCAATTTTAATGTAAAGGAATGGCCAAAAACATCAATTTCACATCTTTCTGAGGGAACATTTTGTAGGCATGAGAATCATGTGTGTAAAGAATTTTTGATAATATTGTACATGTTCATGAAACGGTAAATTAAAAACTATATACTGAGGACTTCCCCGGCAGTCCAGCAGTTAAGACTCTGCACTCATACTACAGAGGATGCAGGTTTGATCCCTGGTCAGGGAACTAAGATCCCATAAGCTGATCAGAGTGGGAAAAAAACACAAAACCCTACATATTATAGAGGGGCTTCCCTGGTGGATCAGCAGTAAAGGATCGCCTGCCACCGCGGCAGACGCAGGTTCCATCCTTGGGCTGAGAAGATCCCCCGGAGAAGGGAACGCCTACCCACTCCAGCATTCTTGCCTGGAGATCCCATAGACAGAGGAGCCTGGCGGGCTGCAGTCCAGTGTCGCAAAGAGTCAGACCAACTTATCAGTTAAACAACAACATATACTGAAGAATACCAAATCTGTAAAACACTTACACTTGTCTGTGTGTGTGTATATATATACACTTTGTAAACACATAGTAAACAGATGAGTGTTTTTGCTGTTTTGTTTGTTGTGTAGGCCCAGAACCTAGACGGGGTTTCTCGGTCACAGCACTTCTCACATGTGGGGCTGGATCATCCTCTGTTGTGGGGCCATCCTGTGCATTGCAGGATGGTCAGTAGCATCCTTGGCCTCTACCCACTAGAAGTCAGTGGTACCCCACCACCCACGCAGCCGCAATAACCAACATGTCCCCAAATGTTGTCGAATGTCCTTTGCAGACAAAAATCACCCCTGGTAGAAAACCACTAGACGTATCAGATAACATTGTTTAGGACTTCCCTGATGGCGCAGTGGATGAGAATCCGCCTGCCAATGCAGGGAACATGAGTTCAATCCCTGGTCCTGGAAGATTCCTCACACCACGGAGCAGCCAAGCCCGTGGGCCACAGTTACTGAGCTGAGCCCTGGGACTGGACAGCCACGGCGGCTGAGCCCATGGCCGCACCTGCTGAAGCTCACACACCCCGAGCCTCTGCTCCGCAACGAGAAGCCCACGCGAGGAAACCAAGGTTAGCCCCCGCTCGCCACAGCCAGAGAGAGCCTGTGCAAAGCAACGAAGACTTGGTGCAGCCAAAAATAAATACATAAAATAATACACAAATAATACTCGTATTGTTTCATAATTCGATGAATTAGAAAAGGTACATGGAAATGTCAGTAGTGATCTCTTGTCAATTTGATTATTTCATTTTTAATGCATCATTATGTTTTCCCAAATTTTCCACCACACCAGGTCCTTTTCATAACCCCTCAATCACAATTCCAAAATCCAAAATCCACAAAACTCGTTTGACAGCAAATCTGGACTCTTCTGAATTTACCCGAGGGCTTTCATGATCTCAGGTGGCGTGAACATTCATACATTTCTTCGAAGAAGTATTCATGTGTTATCTGATATTCAGTGTAAGCCAAACATATCTAAAAATCTGGGAAAACCCGGCTTACACAGCGCGCCTGGCTCCTAGGTTTGGGGCTGTGGGGCTGTGGGGCTGTATTACTTTTACAATCGGCGAAACAAACAAATGAAAGCATATGAAAAGCATCGCGATACTCGTCGACTCAACAGAACAGAGCAAACTGAGGAGGAATTATTACGTACACACTCAGCCAAAAAAATTCTCTCCAAAAGAACTAGGAGGGAAAGACAAACGGCGGGGAGGTGCAGTCAGCCTCCTTTGCAGGCGAGGAGACGCGCAGCTGGAGACGCTGGTGCCGGTGAGGCCGCGGTCTGTGCGAGCGGCCCCTCTGCAAGCCCTCCTGACCCCGAGACGCAGCGCCTGGCAGTCAGCCTCCGGACGGCGAGCGGGTGGATGGGCACCTTCCGGGGCCGGGTTAGCCTCTTCGAAGCCCACAGTCACCTGAATTCTGCCTTTAAGAGGACAGCGAGCACGGAGGGCCAGCAGCAGCTCGATGAGGCCCGCGGCTGACTGGCGCTCTCCAGCCGCCTCGCGGAAACCGCCGCGGGCGGTGACACGAACATCACGCCGTCCGCAGCATGCCTCGATGAAACTGCGGGGCCAGCGGTTCTGGAGAAGGACTGCTTGGGCTCCAACCCAGCTCACCACCAACTGCGAGCAAGTTCATCAGAGGCTCTGCGGCTCCACGTCCTCATTTGTAAGTGGGGACCGCACGCGGACCCCCGTCACAGGTCCGCTGTGAGGACGGGTGCGCTCACACAGGGCGTGTTGAGAAGGGGGCCCCGCGCTAAGGGCCCAGAGTCCCCGTGCTCACGCCCCAGCACATCCTCCTCAGCGCTGACTGATCCGCTTGCTCTCCGCCCCGGTGAAGCAGCGCCGAGGACGAGAACCCAGAGTCTGTACGCGGATGGGTTGGGGGCACGTTTCTGCACATCCAGCCTCGCGCCGTGTGACGGGGCAAAGCCAGTTGCCTTCTCCATGCCTCGGCTTCCCCACGGATCCCATCCCAGTAGCAGCCATCAGGGTGGAGGCACTAAGAGGCATGAGCGGGCTGTGGGGTGTGCCCTGCTCAGCCCAGTCGTTTCTCAGGATGGTGGCTATGTCTGCTGACACCCTGTCCTAGTGACGAGAAACGGGGAAGCAGGAAGTTCAGGCCACAAACCCCAAAGTCGCAGAAGCCTCCTCAGTGCAGCCCGTAAGCACGGGGCTTCCCCAGGGATGTTACTCCCGCTGCTGTTGCGATACAGGGTGACGGGATGCACAAAGTTACTTACTGCGTCTCATAGTCCTGCTGTTATTGCCACAGTTTCTGCCTGTGCAAGCGAATCAGTCTCCCACTTACTAAGGTTACAGTTTCCTTCTACTATGAATGTAACTTTTTGCTTTTGTTTGTTGTTGTTTAGTAGCTGTGTCCGACTCTTTGTGACCCCAAGGACTGTAGCCCACCAGGCTCCTCTGTCCATGGGATTTCCCAGGCAAGAATACTGGAGTGGGTGGCCATTTCATTCCCCAGTGGATCTTCCTGGACCAGGGATCGAGCCTGCATCTCCTGCACTGGCAGGCGAATTCTTTACCACTGGGCCACCAGGGAAGCCCATAAACGTAGGTAAGTAGTAAGAAATACTATGTATTAATATCATTTTCTTGATATTAATATTAGCAATGTAATAGCAAGTAGTAGATTGATTCAAAGGAAAAGATTAAGTGAATGTCAGACAAGGCAGAGACAGATATGGCGAAAAATCATGACGTTTGTGTGTGAATGGCTGTCTGTGAGAGGCTGTGGTTGACCACATCTGGTGATTAAAATAGCCCAGCAGGATGGTCAAAGGGCCTCTAGAGGGCTGCAGGCAATGACAGCCCATGTGATTCACCCCACATTCCACGTTCTTTCTCAGTGAATCCTTCCTTTCTCTGAGAACACATCGACCTTGAGAACACGACATGTGAGAACATGAAATCCTTGACAGATTTCCTAACCACAAATTAGAACCACATTATCAACTGTCTTGGTCTCCCATTTTAAGTCCTTCCTAGTTTCCTATTTTATGTCACTAGCTGGTGTGTGTGTGTTAAAGAGAGGATCCATGTGAACATAGGTCATACTTTCTTCACTTAATTACCTACTTCAGTAATAGACACTTGGGGGTGACTTAACCGTGATAGTTTACCATGAGTTATGTGAATGCATGGCTGTTTCTAATTCCCCCAATAGCTTGATAAGGTAGAAATAATTACATGCCAATTTTTATAACTGGGGAAGAATCTGAGGCTTAAAGAGGTGCTGTAGGCCCAAGGTGAAGCAGCTAGAACCAGAAGTTGAACCCAAGTGGTCATCTGAACTTGGAACCTAGATCCTAACTGTTACAGAACATTGAACACACTTTAAAAGATTCCTCAGATGGATGGATGAAAGGAAGGAATAGGAGAGGCATAAAGAGGCAACAGGACTATCTTGGAATAACCCTGAATCCACATCATGGGTTCTACTACATACTTGCTGAGCACCCAACAGACATTTCCTTTTATCCTCATATAAGATGTCTGCTCAGATAAAGGGTAACATGGATATGTCACAGAGGTTTGCTATTAAGACCCGTGCTGTTAAGAGCAAAGACCCTGAAGTCAGACAGACTAGGTGCCAATCCTGGACTGGCCCCTTCAAAGCTAAGCAAACTTGGGCTGGCCGTTTATACTGCCTGGGTCTCAGTTTCCCTCTGTGATGGGCTGATGATATCCACTCCAAGTGTTTAGTCGCTCAGTCGTGTCCGACTCTCGGCGACCCCGTGAACTGCAGCCCACCAGGCTCCTCTGTCCATGGGATTCTCCAGGGCTGCCAAGCCCTCCTCCAGGGGAGGTTTTGAACCCAGGTCTCCCGCGCTGCAGGCAGATTCTTTATGGCTGAGCCCCCAGGGAAGCCCGTTCACTCCACAAGGGTCCTGGAGGCATCACATGAGACCGTGTGTCCCCGGCCCTCGTTCTACATCCTGTTCTCAATGTGTGGCTGTTGGCATTGTTGCCTTGTTGTTGGAGTTACCATACTTGTAAATCTCAGAACTAGCAACCCAGGTCCACTTGAAGAGAGTGCGCAAGTTGGGCGTTGAAGTCAAACTTGAATTAAGGGAGTGTATTAACAGTTGGCAGATTGATGGCACCCCAGAAAGATGCGCATCCTAACCCCCCAGAACTTGGAAACACGCTACCTTCACTGGCAACAGGGAATGGAGTTTGCAGTTGGAACCACGCTTGCTCCTCAGTGGAGGGCAGGGAGTCGGCCTGCAGGGAAGGCAGGGAGGGAAGTCTGAACTTTCCAGGTGGCGCCGGTGTAATCACAGAGCCCGTGGAAGTGCTAAAAGTGGGAGAGCACGGCCCTACAAGCAAGTCATGACGGGATCCATGTTGCCAGCTTTGAAGATGCCGGAAGGTTCCAGGGGCAAGGAACCAAGATGCCTCTAAACTGGAAGAGGCAGGAGTCCGATGGTCCCCTGGGACTTCCAGAAGGGACGCGCCCCACGCACACTTTGATCATTAGCCCAAAGAGGCCTAGGTTGGACATCTGACCTCCAGAACTGTAAGAGAAGTGCATATTTTTTAAAGTGTTTCTTTTTCCTTTTTTTTAATGTGGACCGTTTTTTAAAGTCTTAACGGAACTTGTTACAGTGTTGTTTTGTTTTTTACATTTTGGTTTCTCAGTCACAAGGCACATGGGATCTTAGCTCGCCAACCAGGCATCGAACCCACAACCCCTGCGCTGGAAGGTGAAGCCTTAACCACAGGACCACCAGGGAGGTCCCAAGTTGATATTGTTTTAAGGTTCACGTTGGAGGTGCTGCTGTCACAGCGGCCCTGGGAAGGGCATCCTGGAGGAAAAATCCCGACTCTGGCCTCAGCTTTGTAGGAATCAAGAGGTCTGCGCAGTTCGCCTCAGGGAGGCAGCTTGGTTTCATTCGCCCTCTAAAAATAAAAGCAGAAACAGCCACTGCTTCTGCGTCTCCCGCCGCCTGCACGCGGGAACCCCGGGGCTCACCCGGGGGGGCGGAGGGGGGCGGTCTAGGCAGACTAATGGGGGAGGTGGGCTTCCGGCTAGTCAGCCAGAGGAGGGGCGCCCCGGGACTTGTTGGGTGGGGGGCAGCCGCCAGCAGTTTCCACCTAGGAGCAGGTGGAAGGCGTTTCTGACTGAGCGAGGGAATTGTCTTTTTTGTTTCGGGGTTTTTTTTTTTTTTTTTTGCAAGACCAGGAAATGGGCTTTCTAGTGAGCTCCAGGGCTCACGGCGGAGTGATCACTTAACTTTCCTTCACGCTTGGAGCTTTGGTTAAAACAGGAAATGAGCTGCCCGGCCATTGGCAGCTGGCAGGTCAGGGCACCGTGGTTTCTCCTGCTCGTTTGCAAACGTGGCCGGCTTCACTGCGGGCAGGAGAGGCTGACCTTCAGAGACCGGCCCACCTATAAAGGGAGATGGTCCGTTTCAAGTTCAGCTGTTCCCTCTCATTGTCTAAGTGCCTGTAAGATCTGCATACAGAGCACAGATCTTCACTGTTTTGAGTTTTGACAATTATATACACCACTGTAATTAACATCCACCCAAAACAAGTCACAGAATGTATTCATTACCTCCTGCCCTTTTCTGGGCAACACCAACTACCACCCCCCACTCCCCAAGAGGCAACTACTGATCAGCTTTGGTTGCTATAAGTTATTTTTCTAGACTTTCATATAAACAGCATCATACATCATGCGCTCCGATGGGTCTGCTTTTCACTTTGCATAATTCTGAGATTCATCTGTGTCATTCCGGGTATCAGTAGTCCTTTTCATTTTATTACGGAGTAGGTACATCCAGTGAATGCAACTCAGTTTTAAAAATCTGTTCTGTTGTTAATGCCATTTGCGTTGTTTCCAGCTTGTGGCTGCTATGAATAAAAATGCTGCAAACTTCCAGGTGTGACTCTGCTGTGTGGACATTTGCTTTCGTTTCTCTTGAGTAATACCAAGGAGCAGAATTATAAGAAACTGCCATACAGTTCTCCAGAGCGGTTGTACTGCTGTCGGGCATTAAATGATGGAACCACAGTAAGCGTGTGAGGGGCTCCTCCCGCCACACTACAATGTGCATACGTGTTTCTCTCCTTCTTCTTCTTCTTTGCTTTCCTAATATGTGTGAATTGATTGTATCTCATTGTGGGTTTAAATTGCATTTCCCTGATGACTAATGGTAAGTACTTTTTCAGGGGCTGATTAGTCATGCTTATATCTTTTTTTAAGATCTTCAAATAATTAAGTGTATTTGGATTTAGGCAAAAATAGGCATGAAAACTAGAGTTAAGTCTTATAGGAGGTTAAAGTTCATAAACATCAGTATGAATTTATTCATGAATACACTTTGGCACACCTACAGAGTGCCGAGCACATTACAAGTTAGACCACGAAGACACCAAATTTTGAAACATTTCTTTCAACTTCGAAAATTACTAAATCTTTAAACATTTATTTCAACTTCAAAAACTGTCTCAACTGATTTTCCAGGGATAAAGTTTATCTCGTTCTTTAGTTTTTACATTTCCTCTGTTATCAGTGTATCTTAGTATATGGAATTTTACATATTCACAAAAGTTATGGGGGATCATTACTTATTTTACAAAAACATATGCTAACAAAGAAGCATGCCTAGACCTTTTGTGAAGTGTCTGAGGCTTTTTGCTCATTTAACATGTATGTTTGTCTTGTATTCGTTGTAGGAATTCTTTGTATATTCTAGATGAAAGTTCTTTATCCCATACAGGTATAAAAATTTTCTCCCCATCTGTAGTTTGTCTATTTTCTTCCTAGTATCTTTGGACAAGCAGAAACTTTTTATTGTTCCATTTATTTTATGATTCTGTGTCCAAAGAAATCTTTGCCTAACCCAAGTCTACAAAGAAGTTTTTCTAATCTTCCAGAAGATTTCTAGTCCTAGCATTTACATTTAGTTCTGATTCATCTCAAATTTATTTTTGTGTCTGGAGTTAGCGTGAAAGATGGAATCAACAAATTCCATGGCCAGTGCTGTGGAGACGTCAGGGTGACGGTTCTCAGTTCAGGGTCTAGGGCCGAATTCAGCAAATCCTTTTCTTTATATAGAAACAAGCCAGATAGTGAATATTTTTGGCTTCACAGGCCATATGGTCCCTGTTGCAATTTCTCAACTTTGCCTTTGTAGTGCAAAAGCAGCTATAAACGACATGTAAACACAAGGGCATAGCTATGTTCCAATAAAACTTTATGGGCAATTTATAATGAAATTTGACCATCATATAATTCTTATATTTCATGAAATATTATTTTATTTTTCACCAGTTAGAAAAATTTAAAAGTCATTTTCAGCTTATGGACTATACACAAACAGCAGCAGGATTTGAGCTGCAGCGCCCAGCCCCGGACGGCCAGCAGGGCAAACACGCAACAAGCAGCAGGACGCGCTGAGAGTGACGAGCTGTGTGCTGTGGGCCAGTGCACGGTGGGCGACGGGTGATCTACTGTGGACGCGATCAAAAGGAACGATAACTAGACCACAATGAGATATCACTGCACACCCATTAGGATGGCTGTTACTTTTTTTTTTAAAGTGTTGGTGAAGATGTGGAAAAATTAGAACGTTGGTGCCTTGCTGGTGGGAATGTAAAATGGTGCAGCCCTTGCGGAAAGCCCGTAAAACTCAAATAGAATTACCATATGATTCAGCAATTCCACTCCCAGATAAATACCCAAAGAATGGGAAGCAGGGACTCAGATCCGTGTACACCCTGCTCATAGCAGCACCACTGACAATAACCGAAAGGTGGAAACAAGTCGTGCTCACTCACAGGTGAGTGAATAAAAGGTATAAACATGCAATGGAATATTATTCAGCTATAAAGACAGGGAAATTCTACTACATGCTACAACGTGGATGAAACTCGAAAACATTATGCTAAGTGAAATAAGCCAGACACAAAAGAATAAACATTGTATGATGCCACTAATCTGAAGTAACAGAGAATAGGCAGATTCAGAGAGAAGGAAATTATAATTGAGATCACCAGGAGCTGGGAGGAAGGGGGTTATTATATTGGTACAGAGTTCCTATTTGGGATGATAAAAGAGTTTTAAAAGTTGACAGCGATGACGGTTGTGTAACACTGAAAATACAGCGAACGCCACTGAATTGTACACTTAACATGTTAAATGGTAAATTCTGTCATTCTGTACTGTGGTAAAATACTCATAGGTTGAAAAGTTAAGGGGATGATAACTAAAAGTCTTACTACAGTGCCCTGTACTAAGTGTTCGGCTCAGCCCAGCCGCTCAGTCCTGTCTCTTCTGCAACAGCATGGACTATAGCTGACCTCCGTCCATGGGGTTTCCCAGGCAGGAGCACTGGAGGGAGTGGCTATTTCCTCCTCCAGGGGATCTTCCTGACCCAGGGATCAAATCTAATAGTATCACATATTAATTCATTTGATCTCAACACTACGTGGTAGGTGCTGCTATTATTATTAAACCATTTTATAGGTGCAGAAACTGAGGCATTAGTCTTAACAAAAAGTCGCACCTCTAGTGACTCTCAGAACCAGGATTCAAACTCCAGCAGCCTGGCTCTAGGTTTGTGCTTTCAGCTACTGCACTCTACTGCCTCTAAAAGCAGTAATTCTCTGGACTTTGGCTGAGAGTTTCCTGCTGCTGCTGCTGCTGCTGCTAAGTCACTTCAGTCTTGTCCGACTCTGTGCAACCCCATAGACGGCAGCCCACCAGGCTCCCCCGTCCCTGGGATTCTCCAGGCAAGAACACTGGAGTGGGTTGCACAGTGCATGAAAGTGAAAAGTGAAAGTGAAGTTGCTCAGTCGTGTCTGACTCCTAGAGACACCATGGACTGCAGCCCACCAGGCTCCTCCGTCCATGGGATTTTCCAGGCAAGCATACTGGAGTGGGGTGCCATTGCCTTCTCCGGAGAGTTTCCTGGGGTGCATTTAAAACTCCCCGTGGCCAGGGAGCAGCTGTTTGAATCAACCTCTGGAGGCTGGACCAGGCATCACGAACTGTACAAGCACCGCGGGTGCTGCCAACGTGTAGCCCAGGTGAAAATAACTGAGATGACATCCTAGCCTTGACCCCAGAAATGAGCAGGGCTCATCCAGGCGGGGCAGGGGTGAAGATTTCACTCCAGGCCATCCACTGTCTGAGTCATGGGTCTTTACCAAAACACTGTGGTCTTTTTCCTACATGAGAATGATGACATGAGTCCTCAACAGGAATAATCATACCTAGTGTTTACTGAGCAACAATGCCCCAAGCATGACCCTACATGGTTCTCATACTTGGTCTCCATTAACCCTCACAGTGATCTTAGCATGTAAATGCCATCATCCCCATTTCACAGATGAGGCAACCGAAGCCTAAAGAGGGTGAGCCGGTCAAGGGCGTCCCAGCAGGAACAGTGAGAAGGAATGTGGTTGGCTTTGTCTTATTTTGTTTTCTGTATGCGTCCACCTCTGTCTAGGCATCTTGATTGAGTCAGAACGTTGGTGCTCCATGGCTCAGGACTGCCCCGAGGAGGTTTGTTAGTCAATCTGAATAATCTCACTCTGGGGTGGAGAGCAGGCCTGACGCTGGGAGAACTTTCTTGGGGAAGTTTAATGCACAACATCAGCTGGACTCTGACAACTAAATTCACAAGGCCCCTGGTCCAGGGAGAAGGTGGCATTGAGAGTGTGTGTGTTCCTAGGTCTGGGTCACGTTGACTGTGTCCTAACGTAGAGCCAGCCTGGCTAGGGAAATGGACTGACCCCAGGGGGACGCCACATGAAGAAGAGTCCCTTGACCTTTTCCTCTGATTCTGAAAGTCAGAGACCACATCTTGCTAATTCATCACTCTGCCTCGAGAACAGTGTCTGGCACTCAGGGTGTGCGTGCATGCTCAGTGAAGTCATGTCAGACTCTGCAATCCCATGGACTGTAGCCCACCAGGCTTCTCTGTCCAAGGGATTTCCCAGACAAGAATACTGAAGTGGGCTGCCATTCCCTTCTCCGGGGGATCTTCTCAACTCAGGGATCAAACCCGCATCTCCTGCGTTGCAGGCGGATTGTTTACCACTGAGCCACCAGGAGAGCCCGGCGTGCAGGATGGCTGCTCGTTAAAATTTGTGCATCTGGGAGGGGTGGGGCGGGGCTGCCCTGAGGACAGGCGGATGAGCTGAGATCCCGGCTGAACACTTGTTAACAAATAAAGCGATGAAGGAAAGCATGTCCCAAGGAAAGGAAAGTCCACGTTCCAAGTTCAAATTAGGCCTTTCGATCATGTCGCCCATGACTGACGAGAAAACTGAGGCTCAAAGATGTCTAGTGATTTTGCCGACCAACACATAGCTGGAAAGTACCGAAACCTGGATTTGAACTTGGGTCCCCGGATTTCTCTGCTGCTCAGACAACCAGAGGACGATGCACGTGACCAGAAAGAAGGGCAACACGGGGACCCGAGCCATCATCACCAGCGACAAAAATCACAACAGGAGCACGAGCTAGGACTTATTAATGTTATAACGAGCTTATCCTGTGCCAGGAAGTGGTCTGAGTTTGAAATTCTTTCTCTCTACAGAATATTCACCAAAAAAACCTATGGAATGGAAGTTGCAGAAATGAGGTCCAGAGACATCAACAAGCCTCAGTTCACACGGTTAAATAAGGAGCAGAGCAGAAAATCAAACGCGGGGTCTCAGACCTCAAAGTTTAGCCACTGCTCTCCTGTCAGTGCATTCAGTGTCAGGCAACCGGCTTTGACTGTCATCAGGTTAATAGTTATTATACCTTTGTTTCTGGGCTTTTAACATTTCTATTTTAAGAGAATTTCCGCAGTCCTTTGACAAAGTTTTCCACTCTTCAAAACCAGGTGTTTTGGTGTCATGTCCTGAGTGATGGCAATATTTCGTCGCAGCTGTGAAAATGTAATCAGTAGATTGCTGCAAAGAAGATGAAATCTTGCTTCTCTGACGGTGATCAGCCTGGGGTCTACACCCCCCGCGCACTTTCCCCAGGCCCCCTGGTGCTGGTCAGGAGGGAAAAGGGGCTTCTCCGCTTTTACTGGGGCTTCCATCCACGTGGACAGAGCCCATCTCCTAAAACTCCTGGCCTTTTCTGCCCTTCCCTGACTCCTCTCCTGGGGAAGAGGATTACCTAGTAGGTAAATTGGGGAGGAATCAAGCTGTCCTCTGCTCTGTCTCCTCGTGGACAGGGGAGTTGTTCTCTGCTCCTGTGTTGGAACTGGAAGATTCATTCCATTCTGGGGTCCACGTAGGGAAGCCCATTGGCCACCAGACCTCTAGATTTATTGGCCACAGAGGTGGCGTTTTGGCTCCCATCTGCACTACAGATGGGATGTTTGTGTGTTCCTCCTCTTCCCAAATTTCTATGTTGAAAACTAACCCCCAGTGTCATGGTATTAGGAGATGTGGGCCTTTGGGAAGTAATTACGTTGTGAAGGAGGACTCCCACAAGTGGATTAGTGTCAGTCACTCACTTGTGTCTGACTCTTTGCAACCCCATGGACTGTAGCCCACCAGGCTCCTCTGTCCATGGAATTCTCCAGGCAAGAATACTGGAGTGGGTTGCCATTTCCTCCTCCAGGGGATCTTCCTGACCCAGGATTCAAACCGGGGTCTCCTGCATTGCAGGCAGATTCTTTCCCAACTGAGCTATCAGAGAAGCCCTAGCAAAAGCCTTAATCGAGACCAAACAATTTTCACTTCCAATCTTTTGAGAAGTTAGAGGGGGGGTCTGTTGTTTCGGAGGAGCCCAGCAACTCTTTCTCGTTGCCTGGGTTACAGTGCCCTGATTGTCCTTTGAGGAATTACCCAGGCCACCGTGAGTCACATCAGTGGGGCTGTCAAGACACCCTGCCCTTTCCTAGCCGAGGGACGAATCCAAAGCCAAGATAGACACCGGGACGGTCAGTCTTCACCAGAGTGAGGCAGGGTGGAGAGCACACGGCAGCTCCCTCACTCTGGGACGTCTACTGCTCCCCGGATGCAGGGAACAGCTCTGGCCCTCGGTCTCTCTGTCTCCCTCCCTCTCCAGCTCTGCCTCCCTTTTTCTTTCTTTCTTCCTTAGCTCTCAGTTCCCCTCCTGTTTGTGACTCAATATCAGCTCATCAAACTCTGCTCAACACAAATCAGCCAGAATTGGTTGCCTTTGCAAGAGAGAGTACCAACACCCCCAGTCTAAACGTGGACTGAAAGATTTAGAACCTTGGTTTCCATGCCTTCATCTAACAGCTGGAGAAATTAAAGTTAAGAGGAGACTTTCAAATCTGGGGTCAAGGAGGGCTTGTGACTTGATGACTAAAAGCACGAGTTCTTGAGACAGCTGGTCTGGACATAAAGCCTGCCTCTGCCATTCTGTAGTCATTCATTGAAATGGGACACACGGCTTCCCAGGCTTCGTTCGGTCCTTACCTCTTAATGTAAGATAAGAACAGCACCTAACTCTCAGGGCTGGGAAAGCTACAAAGTGCATAATAACCTTTGGCTGTTATTTTAGTGAAGATTCTTCTAGATTTCTTCTGAGAAGTCAAGCAAAACAAGAATGTAAGTTGAAAAAAAAAAAAGATGCTGAGCAGGAAGGCACTGGAGAAACCCTTTCTCCAAAGGGGATGTTTATTTCAGAGACAAGCAGGGGGAAGCTCAACCAGCTGTTTTCCAGGAAATCATCCACTTAACCCAGGGTGAGCTCTAAATTTTAATGACCAGCCAGTGTTGAAATACTGCAAAAAGAAGAAAACAAAAAAGGATGAGGATGTAAAAACCCAACCACACACTGCATACACTCTGACGTCTCCAATATTTAATCAGATTCCTGCGTTTGGAGGTGGTTCCCATCTCCACTAGGAGAAGAATCACAAGCATCACCAATACTGGCATCCAAAAGCTGAGCTCAGTAGTGAGTGTCAAACATCAAGTTCCAAGGTTCACTAGGGTTTCGGAGCAGTAAAATGTAAATGGTTAATCCGCACCCACTGGACTAGAAGTTCGGGGGTGGAAGCGTCTCCTGCCACAGATGTTCTCCTTAGTCGCCAAGCTCCCCCTTCCCTGTCGATCCAAACCTTCTCATCTCAGTGCAAATGCCAACTCCTCCAAGGCTTCCTACTTCTCTCTAAGGGAGCTACACCTCCGAGAAGGCTTCCTAGTTCTCTCTAAGGGAGCTACACTCTCAGAATGTTCCTTTGCTTCCTAACAGTCCCAAGTTTGTAATGACATGATTTTCGTGACTGTTGGATCAGTTGCTTTTCCCAAGTAGACCGCAAGTTTCACATGATCAGAGATTGTATCTGTTATATATACTACTGATCAGGTTAGATTGGTTTCAGACCCAAAATAGTAACTCTGTATGTCTTTGTTGATTTAATGACTTTGGCAATGCTCTATTATCATTCATTCACTCACCTGATGAGCACTTACATCTTTAGCAGGTACTCTTCATTCAATTAATTATTAATAACCTATAAGTGTTTACTATCTGCCAGGCACAAATGGGAGCGATGAGGACACAGCCATGACAAAGAGACAAAAATCTCCACCCTGGTGGAATTTAGGGGGAGGAGAGCATCAATGAATACACAAAAAATGACATACCTTGGTGGAGTCTTAAGCTTTGGAGAAAAGTAAGTAGAGAAGAGAAATAGGGAGGGTCAGGATGGGGGCAATTTTGAAGAGAGATGCTGGAGAAGCAGAAACCCCAACAAGTGAGGGAACACAGTGTGAGGCATCGGGTGGGGGAGAGGTCCAGAGGGAGCCGTAGTGAGGGGCGTGTCCTGGGTCATCGAGGCCGGAGCGAGACGGGAGGGGGCCGGGCGGAGGACGGGGCGCCCGGGAGGCCGACGAGGGGGCCGGGCGGGGGACGGGGCGCCCGGGAGGCCGACGAGGGGGCCGGGCGGGGGACGGGGCGCCCGGGAGGCCGACGAGGGGGCCGGGCGGGGGACGGGGCGCCCGGGAGGCCGACGAGGGGGCCGGGCGGGGGACGGGGCGCCCGGGAGGCCGACGAGGGGGCCGGGCGGAGGACGGGGCGCCCGGGAGACGACGCAGGCAGAGCCCTGAACGAGTCTAGATTGTGCTCTGAGATGCGGAGTTGCTGGGAAGGATACATCTGGAAAGAGAAGTGGGGTTTCAAATTATTTTGGAGGGAGTTCCTTGACAATCCAGTGGTTAGGACCCTATGCTCTCACTGCTGAGGGCCTGGGTTCAACCCCTGGTCAGGTAACTAAAAATCCTACAGGCTGCATGGAGTGGCTAAGTAAATATATATGTATGAATATATGAATATATATATTATTCACTTCCCTGGTGGCTCAGAGGATAAAGCGTCTGCCTGCAATGCGGCAGACTCGTGCTCGATCCCTGGGTCGGGAAGACCCCCTGGAGAAGGAAATGGCGACCCACTCCAGAACTCTTGCCTGGAAAATCCCATGGACAGAGAAGCCTGGTAGGCTACAATCCATGGGGTCGCAAAGAGTCGGACACGACTGGGCGACTTCACTTCTATATTATTGACTACATATACATATTTGAATATCTGAATATATATATTTGATATCTGACAATTGACAGATACTTGAATACATACATACATATATGCATAAAGCAGTCTGACTCTGGAGACTAGGTTGAAGGGGGCCCGGGGAGTTGGGAGGTTCTGGGGACCCTTTTTCTCCCTGGCCGGGGGCTGCGGCAAGACGTGCTGGTAATAAGGCTCTGTGAAGGTAAGGGCGCCAGGAGGTGCTGAAGGGTTGACTGTGGGACGTGAAGGAATAAAGGGGTGTCAGGGAGACTCCAGTATGTCTGGCCTAAGCCACTGCATGACGGGGCGCCTTCTGTCGGACTCTGAGGAAAGCAGGTGGTGGGCACCGCAGGTTGGGGGCGCTGGGGTTCAGGCATGTGCTGTTTCAGGCTATCTACAGCATCCGAGGGTAGACAGTTACAGGACAGACACCGTCCTCGCCTCTCCGGGAACCTGCATCTCAGTGAGGGAGACACCCGGTCAACAGCACAGCTACGAGGCGATCCACCATGTGAACCGGCGCCGGGCGCCACGGCGGTGACGAGGCAGCGGCAGTCACGTGAGGTGACGCGCGGGCGGGCGGGCGTCGCAGGGGCTCGGGGCCGGCGTTGGTGGGAAGGTGGCGGGAGAGCTGAGACGCGGGCAGGGCCCGCCAGGCCAAGTCCCGGAGGAAGGAGCGGGCTTGGCGCGTCTGAGAAGCAGGAAGAAGGCAAGTCCAGGAGGCTTACCCACGGCTGGGTCCTACTTTAAGCGAGATGGGAGGGGCTTCCCTGGTGGTCTGGCGGCTGAGGCTGCACACTCCCAATGCAGGGGGCCTGGGTTCGACCCCGCGTTGGAGAACTACAGCCCACAGGCCACAACTTAAGAGTTTATATGGTGCAACTAAGACCCTGTGCAACGAAGTGAGTTTTTTTTTTTTTTTAAGAAGACCCTAAAATCATAAAGATTATTATAAATAAACACAATGGGAAGCTGTTGGGAGACTTACAAGAAGGATACGGTCACACCTGACTCCCATTTTTAAAAATAACTTTGGAGGGCTTCCCTGGTGGCTCAGTGGTAAAGAATCCACCTGCCAATGCAGGAGACACGGGTTTGCTTCCTGGTCCGGGAAGATCCCACCTGCCGCGAGGCAGCAAAGCCCCGTGCGCGGTTGACCACTGAGCCTGTGCTCTGGGGCCCGGGAGCTGTAACTAGTGAGTCCATGTGCCTAGAGTCCGCGCTCCAAAGCAAGAGAAGCCACGGCGGTGAGCAGCCAGAAAGCCGCGACCAGAGAAAA